AGAACGTGCATGAATGTAACAAAAAAGATGAACAGTCGGTGCCTTATTTATTTATTTTTTTTAATTTATTTAGCTGAAAATGTACCAACAAAATGTATTTGAAAAAAAAAATGTTTTCTTAAAACTGAATTATAATTGCTTTTCTTTTTACATCTAAAATTATTTTCTAATAGCCTATTCCCGAGAAAAAAAAAGGAAAATTTACAAATCTTACGTTTTATTCCATTAAACAAGTAACCTTTCTAAGAGAAATGTCGAAACTCAATTTACGCACTGCTACGTCAGGTAGAATTAATTGTTATGACAAAGTTTAATTAACAAATAGAACCGCATGGAAAATAGAAATAACAAAAACATCGCTCTATGGCATGTCTATCATCTCGCTTATTATTCACTGACGTACTCCATGATTATGTGTTGATTCTTTATTACGGTAACGTTCGATAAACTAAGGAAATAAAACACGAAAGTAATGCCTCGTTCACACGTACATTTAATTCGAATTGAATTCGAATCGAATGCGAATCGAATTCGCTAATCGCGTTTACACACTCTTCTTTTTTAATTCGAATTGATTCGAATTGGCTAAATCGCATTATCCAATTCGCATTAGAAATGCGTTTTTGTTAATACGAATTAAAAGTTAACGTCGTTAGGACAGTAAAGCGAATTTGATGCGCATTGCAATTCGAATTAGAATTAACGTTTGGACGTTAAACGTTTCGAATGCGTATATTAAACTAATTCGAATTAGTTAATGCGAATCGAATTCGAATTACGTGTGAACGCAGCATAATTAATTAGCAGGCAAAGATTTTATTGAACGAAACATTTTTGTCGATTATATGTTATGAATTCGTAATATAAAAAAATCGTGGGACTTTGTAAATTATATATACATGCATTGGTTTAATAATTTCGATAACATTACAATTTCAAGAAACACGTTTCCATGTGGTTCTTTTTGGTAATTAAAAGAGGTATAGGGCCATTTTCCCGTGAGTTTTTTTCATTTGATTAGCTAGGTAAATCATGTTTTTAAATAGCCCGATAGATACTATAAATTATAGTATATGAAAACACGTCACATCATCTATTTTCATACCTTAAAACAGGTATTCCTACAATAATCAAGGCCAAGACTATTGATTTTTTGTTTGTTTATCAAAACCAATATTGATTTTGTGTGTAAATGCCCCTGAGGAGCATTGAAATATGAATTATCAACTAATAGATATTCAAATTAGTTTTGTATTAAAAAAAATATGGTGCTTCAGTTAGCGTGTTAATGTTGGTAGGTGATTTGTAGCGTATACGTATTTCACAGCTTTGTTAAACTTAAAACTAACAAAATATTAAACAAGAATGTGTCCATAGTGCACGGATGCCCTACTCGTATTATCATTTTCCTTGTTCAGTGAACTATGAAATTGGGATAAAAACTGAAATTTAGCATTAAAATGGAAAAATCATATCATAGGGATCATGTGTACTAAGTTTCAAGTTGGTTGGACTTCCACTTCATCAAAAACTACCTTGACCAAAAACTTTAACATGAAACGGGACAGACGGACGAACGAAAAGACGGACGAACGAAGTGACGGACGGACAAACGAACGAACGGACGCACAGACCGAAAAACTGAATGCCCCTAAGTGGCGCATAAAAAAGGGGGTTAAATATAAATACAAGAAACATTTAATAATCTAATTATCTGATATAAATCAGCTAATCTAATTCAAGATCGGTCTCTGTTTTAATGCCAAGAAGCCAAAAAATATCGGACGCATTTAACTGGGATGTTGTTTTCCTCAATCTGGATGTATCTATATATATACACTGTTCCAGCTTTTAAGGTTTACCGTCTTTATGAGTCGAACAACAGCTTACACCAGTTGGTACTAGAACGGCTTTCGTAACAAACACATGTAATCTGGTCTTTTCTGCATGGCATTGTACCAAATGGATCGACCCTATGTTGTGATACAGATTCAACACTTTCTTGATGTTTTACGTACAGTCACGATTGGTAGTGTAATTGATTTTTTCTGTGATGTTGTTTCATTTTCTGATGACTTAGGTTCCGGTGTAGGGACGGTGGTACAATGTAACAATGCCAGTACTAGTATCTACACAGTTGGTGGATTGGCGATAAAATTACTGTCTGCATTTGTTACATATCATACCATTTTCTAAAACGTTCTTGTTCAAGATGTAGAAAAAATAATTTTGTTGTTTTAAAATTTTTCTGCTATGGCCTTTTTTCGTTATGTGTATAACACACAAAAAATTTGGGCTTCATTGCTATATAATCAATTCTCGTGTTATTGGTTATGTACAAGCACCTACCTCAGTGTGACATTTTGAATTAAACAAACATCCGAAAAAATGTGATAGAAACATAACATTTTTTAAAATATTTCAACATAAAAAATGAGAAAAATTAGCGTGTGATTTGAACCCCATTTTATAAACAATCCATTATTTACACTTTTTAGCGCATTTTTTTTTTTTTATCATTTCACTTTTAAGCGCTACCGATGGAGCCACGGCGACTCTTGAAAACAAAGTCGATATTAAGCATCTATATAGTAAAATTTAGTGATGTTCCACTTTTTATTAAAAAATTTTTTTAGTATTAAGGACACACTAAACCAATTTCATTTTTGAGGGGAAAAGTTGTATAAATTACAACAACAACAAAAAACATAACTTTGTTTTGGTTTGAAGTGTCCTTCTAGGGGGATTCCCTGTTTTTCCAACCTAAAAACACGGTAAATTCCGCATATTTGACTTTCATCCTTTTTTGGAGGTTAAATTAACTATTTTCCAGACATAACACAATACATAAAAATCGAGATATTGACCAAAAAACATTTTTATTTCATGTTTTTATCGTAAATTTTATTCTTTCAGCACTTTTTGAAATTGGCCCTTCTGTGAAAAAAATTTAGGGGAAATTGGCCCTACCTCTTTGTCTTAACAGTTGTTGAATGATTTGATATATAAAAATTATTCTTTCAGAATCAAATAACTCTATTTAAATTCCACGTTTGTTTACCTTTCCTTAATCACGGCTTTCCCTCGCACTTGCGCTATGTTGTTGCCGAAGTACAAACGAGGGGTCTCGTGGCGATGGTCTCTGCATATGGAAAAGCTATAGATATCGGCAAATTAGCGTACGGGAAGCCAATAGTTCAATAGCAGTACATTTCTGCAGATTTTGATAAGATAAATGATCTTTTTTACAGAAAGTCCATGTACACGTGTTTGATAGTTAAACCGTTAGCCATATTCAAGTATATAAAACATCTGTTAATTCCCAACCTGCAGTAGTGGAGGCATCCATGACTCAATTTGCGCGATCCTCCCAAAATCGGGAGGAACAACACCAAATAATTTCTAGTTTCGCATGTATATATCTCAACAAAGTTCAGTGCCAGACTTAGCTGATATGAAGTAAAATCATACAGCGAGGAGTACTATTGGCAAAACACGGCTAGGGACAATTGTAACAGATCCAATGCAAGTTTGTACCGTCCGATGTGATAAGCCATGTCCACAGAAAAACAACCAATCAGTGGACAAAGAACGACCCTTTAATGCCAATGCTTGTCCATTTGAGGTCGGCAATCCTTCTTTGGTTAAAGTCAAGAATATTATTAGTCTTATTTGTCTTATTTTACAGATATAATCATTTGTTATCAATATACTCTGGTTTGTTGTTATATATTATATTAATAGTAGTATACCAGTTAGGTCTATCAAGGACGTATATTAGATATACGTCCTTGGGTCTATATATATAGCAGATCATCTTAATTACTCTACAGGCAAATTTTCATCCATTTACATTGTATTATATATCATTCTATTCTACTATTCTAATGATAGTGCAGTGCAAGTGCATGGTAGACACTCTTCTGTAATAATTCGTTTTTCTAATAGATTGGATTTGAGTAGGCATTCATATTTTCCCGCTTTTGTTGCAAAACGTTCTCGAGATATTCTTAATACAGCATGCGTTAACACAAATTTTCGGTATCCATGATTTGTTATTGATATATATATTTCTTACGACAAAACATTTTCATACATTTATCCATGTTCTTAAAAACCATTTTCATGAATATCTGGGACTATTATACTAACTAGTATAATAGTCCCAGTGAATATTTAACAAGCGATAAGGAATGTTATTTTTCACTCGATAATATCCGCGTAATTATACGAAATACGTTCGGTTATCAGTCAAACGGCAAGGAAATTTCTGCGGCAACATAACACCGGTATGACCTCTCAAGGTCACATCCGATGTAAAAATCAGTTGAAGAAGGCATCAGATGGATATAAATAGAAATATTTGTATTTGTTTTATTTGGGAAGAATGTATTTAATCATAATTTACACAATGCTTGAAATCAAAGATAATTATAATTATGGAAGATTGTCCAATTTGATGTTGGAAATTCTATGAAAATCAATGCAGTAAAATCATGTGAACATGGTGAAGCATAGATATTCGGAATTGTACGAAAAACTACATGATTGATTGATTGATTGACTGTTGATTATTTGAAGTTTGTTTAACTTCCAATAGCACATACCGTGGCTTCATGCATGTTGAGGACGCCGGAGAAGCTGAACAAATTAACAATTATTACAATTGGTAGGTTCAACCAGAGACATATAATACAATATGTCTCTTGGTTCAACCAGGGACAGTCTATACTAGTTAGTATAGAAAGTCCCTGGTTCAACCATATAATTATAATAAACAAATTATATATCTACAAAATAAATATAGACACTATGATGAAAAGCTTGGCTGTTTCTTAAATAAATGAAGGTGACAAAACTGTCAAAAAGATGCAAACTGGGTACCATGATGGGCATCACGTTACAGTTACGTGTCCAATTTACATTATTGGAGACCAGTTTACATAATTGGAGACCGTTGTTCTGGTATTTAGTCACAATAAAATGCAACAGTAATAACATTGCTTTCCCTCCCCTTTACTTAAATTACCCTGAACATGTCTTCGAACTCGACAAACCATTCTACAAAAAGAAAACCAACGACAAATCTAGATGACTCTTCGGATCCATCAGACAACAGTGCATTATGCATTCCGGAGGGTAAAAGACTTCGAGCGTCGGAATGGAAAAGACAAGAGTTGGGAGATGTTGGAGTGCATTTTGCTCAAAATCCTACTCCTTTATCAGATTTGTTAGATAAATTAAAATCACAAAAGGGTACAAGAGTTACCATGCCAGGTTTTACGGAACATCTCATTAAGTTTACGAAGGAAGTGTTACCTTTCTCTTTGAATGACATTAATTGGAATAAAGATATCAGTATTTGTTACGACAGAGAAAGGGAAGCCATGGGACAGATTCAGGAAGTACAAAGGAATTTGGTCGATTTTGCAGAGAGAAGTGAGGGCGAAATCCCTTTTTCAGCCGATAAGCTTGCTAAAAGGTAAGTTGGTATACACAGAGATGTCAATATAGACTTGGTATAGGAATCCATGACAGCTCTCCCTAGGCCTAGACCAACTTGCCCCACAAATGAACAGGAATTGAATGCCACTGAATAAAGATCTGCCACCTTATACATGTAATACGAATACGAAAGTTTATTTTGATTTGGTTCACATACATGCATAACTGTACAAACATAAGCTTTTGAGAGCTTTTTACTGAATATAGATAACATATACATCTGATGATCATGTACATAACATTAAAACAGAGAGCATGCAGATAGGATATATAAGCAGCATATATTACAATGCATAGATGCAGCACAGGCATATTGAAATACATAAAAAGCACTACTAAACTACACATCTAAACAAGCTAAAACAAGCATAACTAAAGTTAAAGCACAACTAAAATTTAAGCACAACTAAAAATTAAGCACACATAATTAAATGCACAAATAAAAAATGAAAGCACACATGCAAAATTTAAGGCATCATGCAAACATTTAGTGCTATAACAAAAAAATAATACATGAAAAACTTATCTAACATGCAGCCAGAACAACAGCATTCTGATCCATTCCAGGACTGTATAAGGTTCTTGAATTGTGAAAAACTAATTTACAGTCCTGAAATGGTCAGGTACATTTTTGTAGGTTGTTCCACAGAGTAGCAGCTTCAAATCTAAAACTTTTCATACCAAACTGTGTTGATTTTACATGTGACCAAATGATTTAAAGGAATTTAATCCAGCTGTATTAAAAGACCTACCAACTGGCCCCACTTATCATGCTAATGAAAAGGAGTTTAATCACGCTAAATAAAGACCTGCCAACTCGCAGACACTAAGTTATAGATATTTCATATCTTTTGGATAGTTTTGTGGTGTTTCGTAAATTATGCCATAGCATTTGTTGAAACCCCCGGCAATATAAACTCACAAGACAAAGTCGAGTGAGTTTGCTGAGGGGTTTCAACAAAAACTATGGTATGATATACGATACACTGAAAAATTATATCCGGGCCCCCCTTTTGTGGGAAAAAATTGGTTGATTATATAGGGAATCACTGAAGCATGACTTGAGGGGACCCCCTCTTAGGCAGTCAGTGGGCCCCCACTTATGAAAATTTCTGGATCCACCACTGGCAATGGATGCACATTTACATTTGTGCTGTATAACTTTACAGATGAAAAAATGTTGAAGCAATTAGATGTTCTGAATATGCTGTGTAACGACAAAAACAGACATAAGCCGAAATCACTAATATTTTGAAAGATTTCCGGAATCCCAGATTAAAGGGTTAGTTTTTTTTTTTATTTTATAAAAATGTTCGAAATATTTATTTTTTTTAAATATTAATTTCATAAGAATCTTTCTGAATGTTTTAATTTGTGTCAAAAGCCCAAGCTGTACATTAATTAAAAGGGTTTTCAAAATGTTCACGTTTAGAATAACATGTTTCCTATAGATAGTCCATTTAAATTGATAGATATAAGAAGATGTGGTATGATTGCCAATGAGACAACTCTCCATCCAAGTCAGCCTTCATTGAGAGTTACCAGACGCTTTCTTATTCAAACGATCTAACATAATTATTAATACTTAAGCAACCTCGTTAAAGTCTAGATGTCAGCGGCAGGGATGGGGTAATCGTAATCTGTAATCGTAATCGATTGTAATTGATTGCATTTTTTCCAGTAATCGACAGTAATCTGTAATCGAAGACATCTTCGATTACATGTAATCGTAATTTAATCGATTACAGCAAAAATTATGATGTAATCATCGATTACTTTTCGATTACATTTCGAATAATTTAGTAAAACAGTTTGATGAAATATAACATATATTAAATGAAAATATGTATGTTTTCATCACGTTATAGTACATGCAGATAAAAGTAGAATGTATTAAAATGACTGAAGAGTTTATCAACTGCCTTATTTCTATCTTTTGTCTCAAGCTGCAATATGATCAACCAGAACCCCATCCAAATTTTACTTTATATCTAGCTTTTGAAACAAATGAATTGATGTGCTTGTCAATAATTCAAGACCTTTTATATTAAAATAAGAAAATAGATTTGAAATAAGAAAATAGATTTAAAATAAGAAATGAGTCTTAAGTTAAGTTCTGTACTACATTAAAGTAGTAAATTTACTTGTATTTAAATTCCTTAAAGCATAATTTTCAATAAGAGTTGAAATTTTAGCTTAGAATAGATACACAGTTGATTCCTTATAATGTTATGATACAAAAATTAAGAAAGTACACAAAATCCTTACAACAATGAACCAATGGCTATGCATTGAAATTCTTTTTCAGAAATAGATACATGTATCCCATTTTGACACTATAAATATATATTGTTTATAAATTGAATAGAGAATAAAAAAATCTAAACAAACTTCTTGTCTTTACTAATCAGATGATCAAAGACTTCTAATCAATAAGATGCAGACTTTGTTTTCTTTTCAATTATTTCTAATTAAGAAGGAGATTTACATTATTTTGCCCCAGGTTATAAAGTGTACTCCATTGGCAGTTTTATAACCTGTAATTAGGGTGGTTATCCAAACAAAAGGACTAATTCATGCATGTCATTATAATTATAAATTTCGATCTTTAAAATTAGCTGAACTAATTAATTATTCTACCTTTTTTACATTTTTATTCAGAGGAAAATTCCAACATTGTAATTACCTATGTTAAAATATACCTGTTTTTAATTAGTAAAAAACAAAAAGCTAACTTAAGTCAGTATGAAAGCAAAATTTATGAAAAAATCTACAATATAGATAAGTGTTTGATGCAATGCGATGTCATCTCTCATTCATGTTGAAAGCCAAAATTTCAAGAATTTTTGAATATTTCTGATCCTCAGTAAGAGAATCCATCTAGAAAACAACTGTCAACTTAAAATTTGGAAACAATGCTTTAAATGCTGTTTTTGGTAAAGTTCTAAATTTCCACTATACAAACGTTGAGCAACAATATTGTGTTTAACTTACTTTATTATTTTTTTGTAATTTTGTAGCATGTAATTGACAGTAATCGAAAGTAATGTAATTACTTTTGATAAAGTAATCGATTGCAATCGATTACATACAAAAATCAAAGTAATCGATTATTAATCGATTACACAAAAATCCTTCATGTAATCGATTATTAATCGATTACATTTGTCAGTAATCGTGCCCATCCCTGGTCAGCGGTGTATAAAAAATTATTTTTAAACCTATAGCTGTACAATGGAGCCTATGGGAATACAATCCAACTTAAGTATACATCTCAATCACAGAAAATCAACTTATATTTTCCAGTATAATATACATGTATAACACATTTTTATTTTTTTTTAACTTTTGGTTGTTGTTTATTTTATTGTTCTTGGAGTGAATTTTTGTTCATTTTAGAATATAGCTTAGTGGCCCCACGCTGACTGTGTTGTTCCTATGTACAAAAAAAATCTGCCAGCTGTGGCTAGGTCTTGCTTTTTTTCTTTTTTTCTTTCGAAGTCCAGATACAACAAAACCATGGTATAATTGTGAAAATTATACCATAGATAGCTATGGTATAATATTTGGTTACTGAGATTTATATTGGGGTTGCATTCCAATAGGGTCCATTGTACAGCTATAAGTTAATGAGAAGATACCACATTCATTCTGAAACTGTTGAAGAGTAAAGCACATTTTTATGGTTTTTTGACCACCGACAATTTTTCAACTAGCAACTGTGGTAACAAATTCTGTGGTTATTATCTTTTGACACCTGTCATATAAAAATAAGAAGATAAGGTATGATTGCCAATGAGACAACTCTCCACAAGAGACCAAATGACACAGAAATGAACAACTATAGGTCACCGTACGGCCTTTATCAATGAGCAAAACCCGTACTCATGATACTGCATAGTCAGCTATAAAAGGCCTCGAAAGACAAATGTTAAACAACTCAAACGAGAAAACTAACGGCCCAATTTATGTACAAAATAATGAACGAAAAACAAATATGATACACAGCAACAAACGACAATTACTAAATTACAGGCTCCTGACTTGGAACAGGCACATACAGAATGAGGCGGTGTTAAATTAGATTGAAGGCGCCAACTCTCACCTAACCTGGGACATGCCTGTTCAACAATGTACTAAAATGTACAAATGTATCAATATTTGATTGTATCTGTCAGTCAGGAGTAACACTTATAGATTTTTGTCGAGCCTTCGACTTTTGTCGAAAAAGCGAGACATAGCGATCCTACATTCCGTCGGCGTCGGCGTTATCGGCAGCGTCCACAAATATTCACTCTGTGGTTAAAGTTTTTGAAATTTTAATAACTTTCTTAAACTATCCTGGATTTCTACCAAACTTGGACAGAGGCTTGTTTATGATCATGAGATAGTACATGTAGTATCCAGAAGTAAATTTAGTAAAAAAAAAAAAAAAAATCCGTATTTTACTTATAAATGGACTTAGTTTTTCTGCCAGGAAACATTACATTCACTCTGTAGTTAAAGTTTTAAAAATTTTAATAACTTTCTTAAACTATCCAGTATTTGTACCAAACTTGGACAGAAGCTTGTTTATGATCAAAAGCTAGTATCTATAAGGAAATTTTGTAAAAAATTATTTTCTGTTTTTCCGTATATCTAATATAAATGGACTTAGTTTTTCTTCCAGTTAACATTACATACAGTTTGTAGTTAAAGTTTTTAAAACATGTATTAGATTCATAAACCATTCTGGATTTTTACCAAACTTTGACAGTTCTAAGCTTCTTACAATCAAAAGAAAGTATCTATAGGAAAATTTATGATAATTTTTTCCTAATTTTTGTTGAGCCTATGACTAGCAGCAAAAGAAGGCGAGACACTGGGTTCCACGGAACCCTTACAAATTTTTGCTGGTACATGGCATTTTCCATATGGGCTCTACATGTAGTATCAGGTAGAGACTCTCATATCTGAACAATTAAGGGCTTTAGCGGAAGTTTAGCCCAAGGTCCGAATACATGTACATGTCAATGCAAGGGATAACAGCTTATATGGAAATTTGGAGAATTCAATGTATCTACATTTGTATTTATCACAGAAATATATTTAGCCTATGAAAAACTCATAAAAAAGAATAAACAATTGAGCCAAGACAAGTTTTTTTTTTAAACTGATTGCTTTTAGTTTTCATTTGTTTTCCGTTTGTTTGTTGTTGATTGGTTTTTCATCTCAATGAATACATGCATGTATTTCCCATTACCTAAACACATTTTGTCTCCTCAAACTTTCATCAACGACATCATATAATTAAAAATTATTTAAAAGTAAAAGATTGCTTCATATTTGTCTTTCTTGTATAAATGTATGTACAAAGTGATGTACAAAAATGTAAATTTATTTGTGAAAGTCATATTTTCTTTTTTTTTAATTTCTATTGACTACATTTCACTAATAGAATGATTTATTGTCTGTCTTAAATCATTTTCATAAAAAGTATAATTTCATGGACAATAAAAAATCTTTTTTGTCTGTCATTTTCAAAATACTGAACAAATGACAATCATGACAATTGCAAGTGTCCAGGGAGTAATTTTTAAAGGCCTTGCACAGTTACATATTTTTTGCCTTAATTTGAATACAAAACTTGATATCCATATATACTATTTTCTTCAAAGTGACATGTATAATGATAATGTAAACAAAATATGAATCAATGTAAAAAAAATCATGATTGATACATGTAATATATAAAATGTCTTTTAACATTACAAAACTTCTAAACCATTGTTCTATTTTTTTTTTAACCTTTTTCACTTACATAGATATAAGAAGATGTGGTATGAGTGCCAATGAGACAACTCTCCATCCAAGTCAAAATTTATAAAAGTAAACCATTATAGGTCAAAGTACGGTCTTCAACACGGAGCCTTGGCTCACACCAAGCAACAAGCTATAAAGGGCCCCAAAAATAACTAGTGTAAAACACCATTCAAACAGGAAAACCAACGGTCTAATCTATATAAATAACGAGAAACACTTATGAACCACATCAACAAACGACAACTACTGAACATCAGATTCCTGACTTAGGACAGGTGCAAACAAATGCAGCGGGTTTAAACGTTTTAATGGTACCAAACCTTCACCCTTTTTCTGAAACAATAGTGTAACATCACAACATAGAAAGACACACTATAAAATATCAACTGAAATAGCTTAACTCAATCGAAGGACATATTAACACCAGTGAACATACACTGAACAAATAAATTTGACCTATGATACAATGTAAATATAAAATAAATAAACTAAGGGAAGAATAATAAAAGTAACATGTTATACCGCTATGAAATGTTAAACAATACATGTATATATATAAGTGGGTAGTCAGGAGCCTCTAGCCTGTTAGTCTTGTATTATTTTTAATTTTAGTTTCTTGTGTACAATTTGGAGTTTAGTATGGCGTTCATTATCACTGAACTAGTATATATATTTGTTTAGGGGCCAGCTGAAGGACGCCTCCGGGTGCGGGAATTTCTCGCTGCATTGAAGACCTGTTGGTGACCTTCTGCTGTTGTCTTTTCTATGGTCGGGTTGTTGTCTCTTTGACACATTCCCCATTTCCATTCTCAATTTTATTTGCTGATTTTTCCAAGCTGCTCAATAAATTCATGAAGTCTGCCATTCCCAATTCTTCAAATTAATTTCTCGTGTACAAAGTATAATATTTTCAAAGATAAGACATTTATTTTAGATAACTGAGGTACTTACTGTGTGAGCAAATATTTGACATCTATCCATCAACTCCACCACCTTGGAATCTAAAATTCCTTCTTTTCTCCCTGTCCTTCCATCAAGAGGAAGTTTCACCATTTAAGCCTCAGAATTTGAACTACATGTATATATATGTATAGAATATGAATTTCTGAATCTGTATACTGTAACTTATTTCTAACATTTGACTTTGTCATGTTTGTAGACTATTGCACCGTTGGTTTGAGGACACATTTGACTTTCTTATTGAGGTGAAAGAAATGCTACAAAAACTGAATAATCCAAATCTAAGTCATGGAGTTTCTATGGAAGACACAACAATTTTGAAGGATTCTGCATTTACACACTTGTTCATGAAATTTACTGAAATTTTCTTCCTGAAGCCAGAGTAAGTACAAAATGTATTTGTAATTTAGTGTGAAGTCATGGTAGTTGTGACAGTGAATGAAATTTTACAGATATCATACATTCACACATTGACAAATTAAACATTAAAGTCATTTTCCTTTTCAGCTACACGAGAATCTTGGACTGAAATATGGCATAGACATGATAAATTCTTAACTCCCCCTTACACTCACAAACTTTTGGTGTATATTAATATTTTTATATTTATAGGATTCCTCTTGTCAGACATTGTCTGTCCATCTATTTATATATCTTGTACATTGTAAGCCCAACACCTCACTGGTTAGATAAATTTGTGCAAAGCTTATCAGATAAAGGTAGTGATGTAAATAAATCATATGAGGGAATGAATGTAATTTCAGTCACGACGTCATCTAGGGGAGATAATTTAACATATTTTTTTGTTTTTTTTATCATATGGCTATGACTTGTAAGCACAACTCCTCCTAAATGGTTTTATCAGCTCCAGAATAACTATACACAATATGCTGATTATTACAGACACTGGCTGTGTATCATCACCATATACATAGTCAGAGCTCTGACATAAACATGTCATTATTTTCTGACTTGTGAAAGTCAGAATATTTGGTGTCATGAGTTACCTCCCCTCATTTTTAAACAAAAACTGACTTCAACAAGCCAGATGAGATATTATGAAATTTTTTCCTCAAATAAAAAAAATTTGAATATTGACTTCTACAAGTCGAAAATATACCTAAAATGTCTTCCATTATGGGTCATGCACCCATATTTAAAAGTGGAGCATCCACATGATAATGTTAAAAATGCCTTCCACAAACAATTTTTTCAACAAAAAATATGATTAAGACCCTAAAAAAAACGGATTCATATGAAATTGATCATTATGTATTTGTAAAAAATATTTTGTATGAACAATGGATTTACTTGAAATCCAGCATGAAAAGATAGATTTTGGTATTGTAATGCATCATACAAATATTCATGGTAATTTATTGAATAGGTTTTCTACAAATATAAAAATACTGAAACTTCACAATCCACTGAACATAATCTGACCTGAATAAGTCAGGCATATTCTGACTTTATAAAGTCTAAAAATGCTATTATCCTTTGTAAAAATATATAATCTGACTTGTTCATGTTAGAGCTCTGATATACATGTACAGGGTAATATGTATGCATGTGAGATTATGTTTACACACTATACTACTTGCACAAAGATAATTTCTTCACATATGTGCTTGCATCCATGAAAATCAAAATGACAGTGTTTTATGTTGTAATTTTACAAAATGTTTTCACTGTGCAATATATGCATTGACTGTTCATTATTTTAGGATGTGGCCCAAATTATGGAATACAAATTTTATACTCCCAGTCCCATAAGATTTACCAGTACTATAAATCATGTAAATTGAGAAATTTTTGTGATGTTTTTAATAATGCAAAAATTGAATAAAAATAAAAACTCAGATCATAGATTTGAAATTTCCTGAGTGTATTAGAGATTGTTCAATGTTATTTTCCATATGAAACTGTGCAACTGAAAGGAGTTTGAGGATTTGATGAACATTTTTTGGTTTTTGAGTTTTGTTTTCATTACATTTATGACTTCCTTTGCAGAGTTAGTGAAAACAAAACAGTTTTGAAGATCAGAAATAAGGTTGTTGGATGTGTTCCTGATATTGGTTTCTATGAACATGATGGCGAAAGACACAGGGCTCGTCTTTTAGTAATGTTGACTGAGGTATATAACTGAAGAAAAAAGCATTAAAGAAAGTAAACGCCCACAAAAATGTCACAAGCCAGGAACCTATCTATTTTCTATTGGTTTTCATTTATTGCTACACTATTTGATTTTCGTTCAAATTTCAAATCTTATAAAGAAGTATACATACCACATCTTCTTATATCTATTGATATCAAATTTGATGAAACATCTTCTAATGATCATGTCAGCACACTTAATTTTAGTCATTTTTGATCAAATTTTTGGTGAGATCTATATCTTTCCTTTCTTAAAACGAAAATTAGAAAAAAAATTACAAACATTCATTTCTGTTATGCATATTAAGCATGTACATGTATGAAGATGACATGTAATAATATCAGCTAAACTAAGGAATAAACTTCCCAAAACATAAAATTTAAAAAAAAAGAAGTGATTTCAAATCTTAATTACATTAAGAAACAAAAATATTGTATAGCAGATAGTCATTCCAAAGTTTTGAAATTGAATTTTAAATATAGAACAATTTTTCAGTTGTTGCATGCATACTCGTTAATTTTTTTTCATTTTTAACTTTTTCTTTGTAATTGTTAACCTTTATATTAAAGGCACATATTTCATGATATTCGTTGTAGAGTTTGCAGCGATAAATCTTGAAATCGTTAAAGTTTTGTAATGTTTTCAGTTTCTTTCCACATTTGTGTAATGATACAATCATATGATAACTGACGTAACTTTTAAATTTTATTTATTTATTTGGAAAGCATTCAGATGCAACATTATGGTTTGCACTGTAAATATAGTAAATGGCAGAAATTATTATCAGTGAGATAAGATCTGAACCAAATATATACAAATATTTGGGGTAGCTCACTAAAGTTTGTAATATATATCATTGTGTTTTATTTACAATATATCCGCTTCATCTTAGAACTGCTTTCCTATTCACACAATTTAAGGGCAGTGAATTTCTGATGCTTATTATTAGCATTGTTGTTAAGCTAAAAATAATTTTGATGTATTAAATGTATTTTACTGCTGTAGTATCCATTTGATATATAAAACGTAGAGGAAAAGAGACTGAAAAATATTGTACATTTATTTCCTTGGCCTAGGGAGATATGAAGATTTGTTCACCAAAGAAAATCATATATCCTGAGGGCAATATGACTTTTCGAGAGTAAACAAATCTTTATATCTCCCTAAGCCAAGGGAAATAAAAGTTTTATTCCACTGCCTATACTTTTTGTCACGCCTTGACGGAGTCAAAAAGCGAGACATAGATATGCTGTTTCCGGCGGTGGTGGTGTCAACAATGTATTAGTTTGTGATTAGGTCTAGTTCATGGTGAACCACTAGTGGTAGGTCAATGATATTTGGTATGCAGTTGTATTATCATTGGCACATCTCATTACCATGGAGATTATTTGGCCCTGTCCCCTCAGTCAAGGTCTATTGACTTTGAAACTTTGCTTAGTTTACATGTATTAGTTTGTGATTAGGTCAGTTTATGGGGAACCACTAGTGGTAGGTCAATGATATTTGGTATGCAGTTGTATAAGCATTGGCATATCTCATTTCCATGGAGATTATTTGGCCCCACCCCCTCATTCATGGTCTATTGACTTTGAAACCTTTGCTTAGTTTTCATGTATTAGTTTGTGATTAAGTCAGTTTAAGGGGAACCATTAGTGGTAGGTCAATGATAATTGGTATGCAGTTGTATAAGCATTAGCACGTCTCATTTCCATGGAGAATAATTGGTCCTTACCCTTCAGTCATGGTCTATTGACTTTGAAACTTTTGCTTAGTTTACATGTATTAGTTTGTGATTAGGTCAGTTTATGATGAACCACTTATGTTAAGTCAATGATATTCGGTATGCAAATGTATTGGCATTTGCAAGTTTCATTTCCATGGAGATTATATAACCCCACCCCCAAATATGGTTCATTGACTTTGAAACTTTTACATAGTTTACAAGTTAATGTTTGTGTTTAGGTTTGTTTAAAGGGAAGGACTTTTGAAAAGTCAATGGTATTTGGTTTGCAGTTGTATTAGCATTGGCACATCTCATTTCCATGGAGATTGTTTAGCCCTGTACCTTTTAATCATGGTTCATTGACTTTGAATATTTGCATAACTTACATTTTAAAGTATTGCTATTTTAATTTCAACATTTGCATTATCAAAATAATAAATAGGCGAGACATATCTCTGTGTTAACAGTTTATTATAAATTCATGAAAATAAAATATTAATTTCTATACAATTTTTTTATATCCGCTTTGCTTTTAAAAATAAACACGATATAAACATTGGTAAGCAATACCAATCAAAAGTTATTCATTTATTATGATTTCGCTATCAATATTTACATACAGTGGAATAATATCACAGAGCTGCTCTGATATTATTTTGGACAGATTGTTTAATATATTTGTAGAGTCCACACACTTTGTTTTCAGAGAAAATAAATAAAGATGTTGAATTACATTAAAACAGTTATTTCTTAGTATAACTTCAAATAAAAACATTATTTTTATCTATTTGATTTTATACAAATATTGGGCAAAATTACATAATGATAATCTAAGACAGTTTTTCTTTTTATTTAGGTTAAGAGGGATGCTCTAAAGAAGAGTGCAACTGAAGAAGAAGATTCAAACCTTCCTCGGATAGAGAGCTATTTGAAATCGGGTGTAACAGGACAAATAGGAATACAACTTGTTTCTGAATGCTGGAACTCTACATTTTGTCCAAACACATTAGGAATAATTTGTATGAGTACAAAGGTAATGTGAAATAAACAAAATTACAAAGATATATTTATGTGTGTGTATTAAGTCTGTTTTATAAATAACATTTTGTAATGCAACAACTTTGCGTTAAAGAATCTTATTTTATTATTATGATGAATGTCGCAGAACGTGAGACAAATGGATGCTGGCATTAATTAAACTTTGTGTGTAAAAAGCAAAATCTTCTATATCAGTAGAAGCATGGCTTCCAAAACGGTCATATATTCCAGACTTGACTGAAATTTATATAAAAAGTCTGGCTGCTCTCAGCCTCAAACGGTCAAATATCATAGGTTTGCCACTTTTTGTTATTCAAGGCATTTTCATAAAACGGTCATTTCACTTTTTTTACCAACTATCGATCGGTAAAAATGTCCGTTTGGGCATTATAGTTTATAATTGTGGCAATCTATTTCACAAAGATATTTCGGTCATATTTGGGTTTAATTAAACAGATGCAGCATATTTCATACTTTGAAGTGTCTCAGTTAGTCTAATCCTCTGGGTACACAAATGCACGGCTTGGTACATCAATAAAAAGTAGAAAAAAAAATTTGTTCTTTTATTTAAAAAAACAACAAGCTGTCAAACAATTATCCCTTCAATAAGTAATATTGAAGCCATAAATCATTCACTGATTACAGGTCATTATCTTTGATGAGAGACTTAGCTTGTCTTAATCAATAGAATTGATGATGCATAACAATTAACATAAAGGTGATCAGGTAAACGAGGTCAAACATGTAAGCGTGTATGGAACAACATCCTATTTAATTACGCTTTGTAGATATTATTGTAAGTGACCATTCAGTTTTAAAAAAATTTCCTTAGATTTTAAAATAATTCTTCAAATAAGAATATTTATAAATGAATTCGAATATGTATGATATTCATTATTATATTTAAAAACACTGTACATCTGTTAAATACTGGGGTACGCTTAAGGGTATTCAAAGTTATTTTCTTACATTTCAGCGGGTTACATCTAATTAATTTAGTCTAAAAGATTGAAATTATAAGAAATACGTTAATAAATATGATTTGATGAAAAATTTGAAAAGGTTTTAAACGAATAATCGTCTGAACCACGTTGTTTGAACTAGTACACGTGTGCGCATGTGTCTATTGTCCGCTGGTGGGAAATTTAATTATGCATCCTAATTCTTCAATAATGCTAAAATTATCATTGATTCCTTTATCTAACATTCATTTCGAGTATTTTCTTGAAGAAATAACTTGAAAAGGCTACTTAACTCAATCATTAACTTACACGGATATTACGTATCCGTCTCTGATCCATGATTTACCATTGTCAAGTCAACATCCGGCATTAGGAAAATGTGATTTTAAAAACAAAAGTAAAGCTTTTGACAGCGTTATTTTGCACAAATAAAGAGTCTAAAGCGGAATTATTACGCTGATGTTGCACACTTTGAATGCTGCACTTTCAATTTAACACTTTACGTCAGAACATCGAATTTATATCAAAGTAAAGTTTAACATCGTTTTAATGTCAATCATTGGTTATATCATATATGATGGCCAACTGATTATCATAGTTGCCTAATTTACTAAGTCTAAAGGGATTTAAAATCGGGATAAGATATGAAATGTCCGGCTGGCTCAACAAAATTTTGGAAGCCCTGAGTAGAAGGTTAATTATATTTAATATATACCATGTATACAGTCAGTACAACATTCACATGTCCATCAGACAGTTCAGCCATCAACTTAAGTTTTTTACATTAGGTTTATTTCACTCTTGCTTAAGCTACAAATAATAAGTTAGCTGTATTTATTATATTTGGTATATAAACTATATGGAAAATCATGCTTTCAGCTTTATGTATAAACCTGGTGTCTTTGGTAAGTAATTATCGATTTGCAATATTTCAGGTATGTTATTTGGAGTTGTTAGACTTGATAGTTGAAATAAGATAAACTGGCATATTATTAGTTCAGGATGCAACTGTTTATTATTAACTGAATTGTCTTGGTTCTCAAATAACAAAGAGCAAAGGAGCCCAAAATGTAACTTTTACATGATACAAATTTTAAGAATTTTTCATTTTTGCATCAGATGGAAGTTTTGGTTCCTTTGTTGATAGCTCTCTAGAGTAACATACCCTACACCAACTTATTTTTGCAGGTACTTAATTTTGCATTTAATTCTTTCTTGCTCACTTCGCTGTGATTTAATATCACAATTTTCAAATTTACTTGAGGTAGTAAAATAGGGAAAGATCCAAGTTTTACATCTTTGTGACGATTAATATTCACTTTATTTTTCTACTCACGAAAATAAATCACTCGCTCACATTAGTTGGTTTACACATGGAAGTAATATTGAAAGGAATAACAACGTCGTCACTTCAAAGGTTACATCTGCCTAACCTCCAATCTTTCGATAGCTCGTTAATTGGTTTAATATATGGCATGGTAATTGACTCTCGGCATGTGATAGATCAAATCACTGACACTTTTCGGTCATTTTCGTGTTCCTGGAAAATTACGAATAGACCGGTTGTTGTCGTATATACGTACGAAGTAACCCGAATAGTTCACTCGTTACATTACGCTGCTGTACGCTACCGAATAGAGTCAGTCGTTCAATGTTGATTTTAGTCTAGTCCGTGAATACTCTGACGTCCAACGGAAAAATGAACAAATTGAGGCCCGATTTATATAGATCCAAGGCCGTCAGTCGGCTCTAGAAGCAACGAAGCAGCGCATCCATTTTGGAAGGGCAAATATCCACTTTTTTATATGGGACGAGCTCTGACGTCCCACGGACCCAGCTTGTGTGGCAAAACAGCCAATGGACGTCAGAGTAATCTTGGTCTAATTTTAGTCTATTTTTCCTATTTATGTCTTTTTCGATCTTAATAGTTTACGCCGACAGTTATCTCATATGGAATTTAAGAAAAAGGGTGGATCATTTTCAATTTTAATATTTAAAACCAGTTAATTAAGAATCCATTTCTGAAAGTTCAGAAGATGATTGTACAAAAAATATGTTTCGACCCCTTTTTATTAAATACGAATAATCCAAGTCTTTCGTGTATACCAGGCAATTTAAATATTCACAATTTTAAACGTTTCTGTTCTTTAATTTGTACATAAACTAATTCATATAAAATAAATGTGCGGTTAGACAGATAGCGTCGAGCTCATTTTGTTTGGTTGATTTTCTTTTTGCTGTATCGTGCTACATTAATATAAGTATTCAAATGTAAACACTTTTTTAAAATGGATATAAATTTAACATGTTTACGAACTTATCCCGATTTTAATTGTCCAGTTTCAATAATGTAATCAATTACTTGAAAGTAAATATTTTTATAAATCTCAATAAAGTTGGCACATTTCAACAGTAAAATATTCTATGTCTACATTTGTCTACATTATTTTGTTCAACATCATGTGAAACCTGATCGCTTCATCGTTATTACCTGTTTTACTCGTGATCCACTTTTAATCGGAAAACACTTTTAGATCAGTTTAAAACAAACAGTAAAAAGCAAAAATAAGCAAAAATAAATATAATTGTCCATGTTAAACTGTTGTAGTTTAAACAATTCTAGTCCGTTTTTCAAGTTTTTTACATCATTACTGGAAGTGTTTAACAACATTGACTGGCTGTTCAGCCCTCGTACGGTCGGTTTACATCATTCGATTTCTTTCTGAAGTTTTATATGATACGGCACCACCTTGTTATTAATAAAACTAGGGATTTCCCACAGGTGATTTATAATTACCGGACTCGATAAAATCATGTGACTGATAAGAAATTCTAGATGCCATTTTACAACCGTGGTATCACTGATAGTAACCAAAGGGGTCTTGCCGCTGAGACTATAATTGGATAAAATCATATGACTTTAGTACAGAGCTCTGCAGGCCATAAATACATGCTTATTAGTCGTTGTTATTCCTTCTAAATATTACTTCCATGGTTTACAGTCACTTGGTAACTTTTTTTAGCTCACCTGGCCCAAAGGGCCAAGTGAGCTTTTCTCATCACTTGACGTCCGTCGTCGTCGTTAACTTTTACAAAAATCTTCTCCTCTGAAACTACTGGGCCAAATTTGACCAAACTTGGCCACAATCATCATTGGGATATCTAGTTTAAAAAATGTGTCCGGTGACCCGGCCAACCAACCAAGATGGCCACCAATGCTAAAAATAGAACATAGGGGTAAAATGTAGATTTTGGCTTTTATCTCTGAAACCAAAGCATTGAGAGCAAATCTGACATCGGGTAAAATTGTTTATCAGGTCAAGATCTATCTGCTTTGAAATTCCAGATGAATCGGACAACCCGTTGTTGGGTTGCTGCCCCTGAATTGGTAATTTTAAGGAAATTTTACCGTTTTTGGTTATTATCTTGAATATTATTATAGATAGAGATAAACTGTAAACAGCAATAATGTTCAGCAAAGTAAGATCTACAAATAAGTCAACTTGACCAAAATGGTCAGTTGACCCCTTAAGGAGTAATTGCCCTTTATAGTAAATTTTTAACCATTTTTATACGACAGCAAAAATTAAAAATTTTTTGGTCGTATATTGGTATGACGTTGGCGTCGTCGGCGTCGTCCGGCGTCGTCCGAAGACACATTGGTTTTCTCACTCTAACTTTAGTTTAAGTGAATGGATCTCCATGAAATTTTACCATAAGGTTCAATACCACGAAAGGAAGGTTGGGATTGATTTTGGGGGTTATGGTACCAACAGTTAAGGAATTAGGGGCCAAAAAGGGGCCAAAAATAAGCATTTTTGTAACTTTCAGACAATAACTTGTGTGTAAGTGTATGGATCTCTCTGACATTGTACCACAAGGTTCCTTATCACAAAGGGAAGGCTGTAATTGATTTTGGGGGTAATTGCCTCAAAATTTTAGGAATTAGGGGCCAAAAAAGGGGCAAAAAACAAGCATTTTTCTAGTTTCATGACAATAACTTGTGTGTAAGTGTTTGGATATTTCTGAAATTGTACTACAAGGTTTCATATCACAAAAGGAAAGCTGGAATTGAGTTCGGGGGTAATTGCCTGAAACGTTTAGGAATTGGGGGCCAAAAAGGGGCCAAAAATAAGCATTTTTTCTAGTTTCAAGACAATAACTTGTGTTCAAGTGTATGGATCTCTCTGAAATTGTACTGCAAGGTACCTAACCACAAAGGGAAGGCTGGGATTGAGTTTGGGCGTGATGAATCATAAGGGGATTCAAAAAATTTGGGGGGGGGATTTTTTTTTTTTTTCTTTTTTTTTCTTTTTTTCCTTTTTTTTTACTTTTAAAATTTTCCATTTTAAGTTGGTTATTTCTGATTTATATTTAAAAGCAAATAATAATGATATTGTAGGAGATACACACCAAACAGGATGTGTAAATTTTTATATAATAAGTATTGTGCAATAGCAAGAAATTTTCAATTGCACAATAGCAAGAAATCTTCAATTGCACAGTATTGCGCAATAGCAAGAAATCTTCAATTGCACAGTATTGCGCAATAGCAAGAAATATCCAATAGCACAATATTGCTCAATAGCAAGAAATTGTCAATTGTACAGTATTGCGCAATAGCAAGAAATATTCAATTGCACAGTATTGTGCAAAAGAAGATACTTCTTATAAATTGCTTATTTCTTGATCAATTTCAATGGGGTTTTATTCTTGAATTCTTGGGGTTCTTTAATATGCTGAATATAACCGTGTATTAAGTTTTTGGATTTTGGGCCCCGTTTTTAAATTGGTCCACATTGAGGTCCAAAGGGTCCAAAATTTAACTTTGTTTGATTTCATCAAAAATTGAATTATTGGGGTTCTTTGATATGCCGAATCTAACCGTGTATTTAGATTCTTAATTTTTGGTTCCGTTTTCAAATTGGAGTACATTAAGGTCCAAAGGGTCCAAAATTAAACTTAGTTTGATTTTAACAAAAATTGAATTTTTAGTGTTCTTTGATATGCTGAATCTAAACATGTATTTAGATTTTTGATTATGGGCCCAGTTTTCAAGTTGGTCCAAATCGGGGTCCAAAATTAAACTTTGTTTGATTTCAACAAAAATTGAATATATGGGGTTCTTTGATATGCTGAATCTAACCATGTATTTAGATTTTTGGGCCCCGTTATCAACTTTGTCCACATTGAGGTAAAAAGGGTCCAAAATTAAACTTTGTTTGATTTCATCAAAAATTGAATTCTTGGGGTTCTTTGATATGCTGAATCTAACCATGTATTTAGATTTTGGATATTGGACCATAATAGGTGAATGTCCAATTTAATAAATTTTTATTGTTCTTAGACCACATTCATTCTGTGTCAGAAACCTATGCTGTGTCAAATATTTAATCACAATCCAAATTCAGAGCTGTATCAAGCTTGAATGTTGTGTCCATACTTGCCCCAACTGTTCAGGGTTCGACCTCTGCGGTCGTATCAAGCTGCACCCTGCGGAGCATTTTATTCGTAAATTTTTGTAATCTTTTACAAAAATCTTCTTCTCTGAAACTAGTAAGACAAATTTAACCGAACTTGTCCACAATCATCATTAGGGTATCTAGTTTAAAAAATGTGTCCGATGACCCCGCCCGCTAACCAAGATGGCCGACATGGCTAAAAAAGAGTACATAGGGTAAAATGCAGTTTTTGGCTCATATCTCTGAAACCAAAGCATTTAGAGCAAATCTGATGAGGATAAAATTGTTCATTAGGTCAAGATCTATCTGCCCTGAAATTTTCAGACCAATCAGGCAACACGTTGTTGGGTTGCTGCCCCTGAATTGGTAATTTTAAGAAAATTTTGCAGCTTTTGGTTATTATCTTGAATATTATTATAGATAGAGATAAACTGTAAACAGCAATAATGTACAGCAAAGTTAGATCTACAAATAAGTGAACATGACAAAAATTGTCAATTGACCCCTTAAGGAGTTATTGCCCTTTATAGTCAATTTTTTACAATTTTCATAAATTTTGTAAATTTTTGTAAATTTTTACAAAATATTTTCCACTGTAACTACAGGGCCAAGTTCATTATAGATAGAGATAATAGTAAGGAGCAAGAATGTTCAGTAAAGTAAGATCTACAAACACATCACCATCACCAAAACACAATTTTGTCATGACTCCATCTGTGTCCTTTGTTTAATATGCACATAGACCAAGGTGAGCGACACAGGCTCTTTACTACAACGAGTATACATAATACACTAAATGTGATTTATTTTTAGATTATGTTTGTGTACTTGGAGATCAATCCAGAACAGTATGAAGCATTGACAAAAAACAAAGATCTAAAAGAGAAGACATCTTACATCCAGTACTCTAAGCCTTATGACATAATGAAAAAAGAAGACAGAGATCAGTTAATAGATATACTCTTTTGGTTAGGGTGTGTTCAAAAACAGAATTTTCATAGTTATTATCTGATGTAATTATGTATAAATTTGGCAAACAAAACTCATCCATCATGTTGCTTTTGTCAGGTTGCTTACAAGTCCCATACTGGCAAAGCAAAAGAGGAGCAAAGGTTTGCACTCTGTCTGTCTGTCTATCGTGCATTCAATCTGTCATAGATTTCCACTCCTTCTGTTGACATGTCTGTACCAATTGGTAGGAAAATTGGTGAAAAGTCATATTTTTAGAAGAGTTGAGTTATTTTTGAAAATTGTAAAAAAAAACATGATTGTCACAAATTTTTCATCTGTAATGCCTTAATCAATTGATGAGATATTTGGTGTATAAAGTTACAGATGATGATTGAGTTTTATTCCAGCCTTCCAGGTGAGTGATGTTTGCAGAAGTTGTGGAGCTAGAACATAGAAAATTTAGGAAAATATCAGTTTTCCTCACATTTTTTTGTGAGTCTGAATCAATTGATTAGATATTTGGTGTAAAGTCATAAGAAGTTGCAGATCGTATTTGAGTATATTTCCAGTTGAGCAAATTTCACAGAAGTTATGCCCAAAGACACAGAATATAAGTAAATATTTGTTTTACATGCTTATTTCTGTAAGCCTGAACCAATTGATTAGGGTTTTTATTATATAAAAAGTCATAACATAAGGAGTTAATAATGAAGTTGTTTCATTCTGGTTAAGAAATATTTTAGAGATCTGCTGCCCAAGTTTAATTCTACCAAAAATTGGTAAGCCGAGAGGAAACTTGAACTCAATTGCACACTAAGGTACCATATATCAGATCGATATTTGCAGGAATAATATAAAAAAAATCAGGACAACTGTTTGATTTCAGAGGGATAAAAGAAGAATAGACATAGCTAACAGTGTGTGCCCCTATTACTTAGGGATATGGCATGAAAATCACTGCTTAAATGTGAACTAAACAAGAAAAGTTTTAATAAAACTGATATTTTATGTTGAAATCCATTTAATGATACCATGGATAAGAGATATGTAAAAATACAGTTTAATTTGTTTAACACGAATAAAAGTTTTTATGAATAGTTTTATTTCTAACATGGGCCTACATCAATAGTTTCTTGTTTTTTTTCAAAGAAGCATATTTTTGTCACTTCTTTATTCTGTGATGGTACATGTTGTTATCCTAATCATTTTTTGACATAGAATATAGCTGGACACATTATTGTGACTCCCAGCCAACCAGTCTTTGCTCTGACTTCTAAATGTGTGTGCTTAGAGGAGAAGCAGCAAATACCAATTTTAAAGTCTATGGTTTGACCGGCCAGGGTACTGACCTCTGACCTCACACACTCAGGAATAGCACATGACCACTGACCCCTTGTTCAAATATATAAGAAAACTAGCGTAAAATTTTAAAAGAGTTGAGGTCAAGATATTTTATAGTTTTAGGCTTCAAAGGATCTTTTTTGAAAATGACAATAAACAAATAAATAAAATGAATTGCAATAGATGTTTTTGTCTCGTCTATGTTATGACGAGAAACATGGTTGTTAATTTAAATGTAAGTCAACGATTATTTTTCCTGAGTTTTTTGGATCCACTTTTTTTCGAAGTGGTTGCCGAAGAAATGTTTGCATGCGCGTGTTCATCATAATAAGATTGAACTACGGGAACGGTTGCAGGTTTTTGTAATTTCTCCATCTTGAAGGGAAATAGATGTTTCGCAGATTTTATTTTCTGTTTCTGAGTTTAAATATTTATTCATATTCAAGTTATGGAAAATTGTGAATGCAATTCTAGAGTATAATACAACAAGGAATTGTATATTTCAATATACAATTCCTTGAATACAATGAGTGTTATAATTACAACAAGAGTAAACATGCCAACCACAATTCCGTATATATTTCTTGCAAGTGAATTGCTTGTTTTAGACTTCGCACATTTCCTTCCAATAATTCCATAAATAGTATTATAAACCGATTTCACTTCGTATACAAACGGTATCGGTAAGGTAATCAAAAGTGAAATAAATATTGCAAGTAACACCAAGACTCGTTTCAACAAAAGAGACATTGATCCTTTTCTAGGAACACACACTTTAAGATATCATTGAACTGCAATGATAAGTAATATAAAGATCGGAATAAACGTTGCTAGTCCAAAAAAGAACGATGTGGTCTTGCTAAGCGTGTCACTAGAAAACACGATTTGGTTTAAGCAATTATAAATGGAAAACGATCCTAGATACAATGTTGCTATTAGGTCAAAGCTGAGACTACTATAACACATATGTGTTATAGTAGTCTCAGGTCAAAGACAGCTAAAACGGGTATGAAAAATCTTTCGTTGGATATCGCTTTCATTTGTATTGCATAAACCATTAGTACAACGACGTTTCCACATATTCCAGCTACAATATAACTGAAAGTACGAAAATATTTGGTATCAGGCTATTTACTATTTCATCGTTCCACTCAGAAACTGTTAAATTGCTCATTCTTCTCGACCTGACCTGTATGAAAACAAATTAAATACTGTCTTCTTTCTAGTCAGTCATAAAACCTTTATGTAAATGAATAGATAAATATAGTATTTTCCTTGTTAACGCACCAGTATACATGCCAAGTTCAACAGTGGAAGCCAAAAAGAATGAACACCACGACGCTCGCCACATACAACCTTGGGCAAATAACTGCTTGTACCCCCCAGTTCGTAATATGAATGTACAGAAACAAACAAGCCTAAGAAATACTACACAAACTCCAGCTCAACAGCCTTTTTTAGCAGTACAGAGCCTCAACCCAAGCCATATGTAACCAACAAATCAAGCGTCAAAATACCAGAGAGTTCCCAACTGCATCTAATTTCATTTAACTGTAAAAACATAAAAACCTGTGGTCCAATAATACACAAACTCCTACAATCTAACGACATAATTCTTATTCAGGAACATTGGCTATTTCAAACACAGATACATCTTCTTGGCGAAATCCACGAAAACATAAATTACATAGGCAAAGGAGTTGATGTAAATGTTACCGATATGTATGCCCCGAGGATATGGAGGAGTGGCTATCTTGTGGAAGAGAGAAATTGACCACTTGATAAAGCCAATCGAACTAGGGTCAGAAAGGATACAGTGTGTGGAAATAAATGAAAACAACAATCCAAACATAATATTAACATCAGTTTATCTGCCAGCAAAAGGGAGTAAAAATCATCTGTCTGAATACCAAGAAGTTATCGATCAATTATACGAACTATACCAAAAGTATAATGAAACGCACAAAATCATCATAGGAGGCGATCTAAATGAAGATCTAAATATACAAACAGGCACGAAACGCAACCTCTATCTCCGTGATTTCATAAATGAATGCAACCTGAAATACGACAATAGAGAAAGGACCTTTGTTAACTCACTTGGGCAGGAATCATCAGAAATAGACTATTTTCTGCACAACCTGCCAGAAAATGAATTTGTCAACAAACAAGTACTCAACAACGTGACAGAAAACACATCCGATCATCACCCAATTCGTATGAGTACCAAATTCAGTTACGAATGCGCAAATATCAGTCATGCGCAAGCTAGCAGCAAAATTGCAAAAAGGGTCAATTGGGACAAAGTAGACAAAGAATGGTATTCTGCTCACATCAACATGCATATAGACAGCCTCCAGATAAGAGAAAATATGGAAGAAACATCAATTGAGCAAGCCACAACCAAATTATGTGAACTTCTTAGGGAAACAGCTAACCTAACATCATCATCAAAGGCAAAATTCAACGCAAAGCCGAAATTAAAAGTATGGACGCCCGAAATACAAGTAGCGTTGAAAATTGCAAGGCAAAAATATAATGTTTGGAAACATCACGGGAGACCCAACAACAAAAGTAACGTAATGCTCCAGGAGAAAAATCAAACTAAGAAGAACGTCCGTCGGGCAATAAGAATAGAGATTGCTAAAATAAGAGACAAGGAGAAGGAAAATATTCTCGAAACAAGAGTAAAGGATACAAAAATGTTCCATAAACTCGTACGTAACAACAGGAAGAAAGGAAATGTTGTAATCACGGAGCTAGAGGTTAACGGAGTCAAATACACAGAAAGTGAAAATATCATCACTGGATTTGAGGAACACTTTAGAAATCTAGCAACATTTAATAACCAGACAGACATAGATAGCACATATCATAACCAAGTTGAAGATGATATTCAGAGTATAAACCGACTCGTGCAACGTAATAACATCAGAAACGTAACGCACAATGAAATTACAAATGCAATCAGATCAATAAACAGAGGTAAATCTGCGGATTTCCAGGGCATAACCATCGAACATATTATCCATGCAGGATCCGACATAGAAACAACGTTAGTAACACTCGTGGAATGTATCTTCAAGCACGGAATTGTATCAGCATCATTAAAAATGGGACTACTAACACCAGTTTTAAAAAATAAAGGAACAAGACAGCAAGCTACCAACTATAGAGGAATTACAGTGCTACCAGTCATAGGCAAAATAATTGAAACCGTCATCAAAGAGCGTACGAATAACAAAGTATTAGAAACACAAAATAAAAGACAGAGAGGTTTCACTGCAGGATCATCACCAATGAACTCAGCGCTGCCTATAGAAGAAAGTTACAGAGAATCCAACGACAACAACACAACTTTCCACCTGGTACTCTTAGATGCCAAAGCAGCATTTGACACTGTTATTCATAGTCATATGCTCAGAAGAGTTTTTATGGCAGGAATTGATGATGGACACTGGGGACTGATCAAAGATCTACATGAAAACGCTAAAAGTGCTATTAAATGGGAAGGAAACATCTCGCAGCCATTCAACGTTAACCAGGGAGTGCGACAAGGAGGTATACTTAGCACCAATCTCTACAAAATATACATCAACCAACTATTAAACATGTACGAAACAACTGAGGCAGGATATAGAATAGGAAACATAAGTGTAAATAGTACTGCATGTGCAGATGACATCGCACTAATTAGTGAAGAACCAGACCAAGCGCAACTGCTTATAAACATGGCATGTGATTATGCATATATGGAAGGCTACCAATTACAACCTACCAAAAGTGTAGTCCTCAACGTAACCAACAGGAAGCGAAAACAGGACCCCGTAACAACAACCTTTACTATGGGCCCCCACGAAATTCCCTCAGTGAAGAGTGCCACACACTTAGGAATCATCAGAACCACGTCACTAAAAGAAAACATGACTGCTAACGTGGAGGAAAATATAAAAAAAAGCAAGAAGAAGCGCATATAGCCTCCTTGGAGGAGGATTTCATGGTCATAACGGATTAGATGTAGAGACAATGGTGCATCTATACAAAATATATGTATCTCCAGTACTTCTCTATGGTCTGGAGCTAGTATTAACAACAGCCAGCTCATTAGCACTAGTCGAAAACTTCCAAAAAAAGCTACTTAAGCAAATACTTTCACTACCAACTTGCGTAGCAGATATAACTATTAACATCTTAACCGGAATACTACCAATAGAAGCCCAACTACATATCCGAGCACTTGGACTATTCAACAACATCTGTAATCAGCCCGAAGAAAGCATAGAAAAATCACTAGCTAGACGACAACTTATCCTAAAAAACAACCAAAGTTCTAGTTGGTTTGTCGCTATAAAACATATGCTCAGGAAGTACGATCTACAAGAGGCTACATGGTATCTGGATAACCCCGTAAAAAAATCCTTATGGACCTCAAACATCAAGAGAACAGTACATAGCTACTGGAGTAAACCAATAGTGCAACTACTGCCACTATATAATGGACTGGACCATCTCACAACAGGAAACCTGGAAAAAGGGAAAATTCATCCTCTGTTCAAAATTAACTGCCATTCAGCCATAGATACGACAAGACTACCAGTTAAACTTAAGCTGCTTACTGGATCCTATATACTACAAAGCAAACGTATAAAAATGAACAAGGACGAAACCGATCCAAAATGCCTTCTATGCTCAAAGGATGACGAAACTGTGACCCATTTCATATTAAAATGTGAACAACTCCATAATGTAAGGAATA